TTGCCCCGCGGCTACAGAGCGCACTCGCAACTACAGCTGCAGCGTGCGGGTAGCGAGCGCAGCCAGGTTGCGCTAGCGCACGCGCAGGCCGTGGGCGGCAGCGAGACACTGCAAGCCCGGGAAATCGTAGGCAGTTTTCCCTCATCACCTCCCACCCAGAAAAACCGCAGTCACAGCTCATTCATCCAAAGCCCATCAGTTTCCATCCTTGGAACGCGCTCCCCTTCGCCATCGCATTCGACTCCTGGTTACCACCCACCCTGGCCACTGACCCCAAAAGCCGGCGCTTTCCTAGAAATTCAAGCGGGTTCGAGGAGCGGGGGTGGGGGAAACAGTTCTTTACAGCAACTTCAAAGCCACTCCTTCCCAGGTCGCAGCGTATTCCTTGAAGCAGCTTTCATTTTTTTCTCATGAGTTTTTGCCATGCAATTCCCGTGCACCTCTACTTTCTGGATTTCCTTGTTCCTCTCAACCCAGGATGGAGCTAACACACTTGACTAAACCTAAGGGTGAAATAGTTCACTCATGGACTTGAGGGTTATCAGGCACATCCCTGGGAGTACGGTGGGGGTGGGGTGGGGGGCTGCTGAGTCAGATCCTCTTAGCCCAGGGCAGGGCCCCGAGCGCAGGTGGAGGTCACATCTAGAGGGAGCAGGCAGGAAAGTAGCCTTAAAATGGCCCACGATTGTTTGCACAAAACACAGCAAACGGAAAACCAAGGAAAAACATTCAGACTTGTGAATTTGGGGATAAGCAGATTCCAAACGTTTGCTTGAAAATTAATACGATGAGCTGTCAGTCAAAAGTAAACTACTGGCGGGCCTTCTCTTTCTACAATTCTTTCCAAATCTAGGGGTAGGTTTTGCATACTTGATTTCCTTAACTTAATGTATAGAAGCAGAGTATAATGTACTTTTAAAGCCACAGTTCTGATACTGGTACAAAAACAAACGTGGATCAATGTAACAGAGGATGCAGAAACCACCCCAGGTACTTTCAGCTAGCTGATCTTCTTTGGACAAAGGGGCCAAAGACAAACACTGGAGGAAAGACAGCCTACTTAGCAAATTGTGCCGGGAAAACTGGCTATGCACATACAACAAATTAAATCTATACCCACATCTCTCACTATTTAGTAAAATAAAATCAGAATGGATCAAAGATCTAAATATTAAAACAGGAACAACCTGCTAGAAGATAAAATAGATAACTCTTAAAGACATAGGCAAGGGCTAGGACTCTGAACAGGACATCACTAATTCTTTTATATTATATAAAAGTTCTTGTACATAATTCTGCCCAGAAAACCAAAAGTAAGGCAATTTTTTGAACAACGATTTCCTTTCAAGCAAGCCTTAGATTTGCTTCGTTAATTTGCGCCTCTAGTTCTCTTGACTCAGCTTAAGGTCTGTGCAACTTTAAAATACATTACCCTGCCCAGTCCAAGTCCAATTCAAAATCCTCCTGTATCTCAAGTGTGTTTGATTATTTCCTTTTCTACCTTTCTTTAGAATTTAATATTAGGCACAATGAAGAAAAATGATCTTCTTCCCCAGATAAGAAAATTTAATCTAATTTTTATTAGCATTTATACAATGCTAATACATTTTTTATTTTTTACCTTTTTTTTTGGTACTGGGGATCGAACTTGGGACGTTGTGCTTGTGAAGCTGGTGGTGGAACCACTGAGCTAAATCCCCGGCCTTATACTGAAATATTATTTGCAATATAAAATTAATGTCATAGGATTAGGGAACACTCCCTCTAGTTTTCATACTTCCTAAAACACAGAAGCCTAGCAAAGCCTACCTGACTAAAAATTTAAGATATAATTAGTAAACACCATTTGTATTTTGACCTTAATGAAAAAAACTCATATAGTAAGTGTTAAATAACTAATAAATTAATTAAGATAGTAACTTGGTTTATAAATACCTACAGATCCTTGTTTCTGACTTTTGTTTCTCATGAAACCAAGAGCGCATACCAAGGGCATTAGCATTTTTTTGTTATAATAAACCTCTTTTCCTAACTTCAAAATAGTAACTTTCCTGGAAAAATATCAAGAAGTGAAGTCTGATAGGAAGCCTAAGAAGCTAACCAAAAAGATGGCTATAGATTGATATAAAAGGAGGATATGGCTGAAACACGAGCCCTGAGCTCTTGTCTGGAATAGAAGCCATTATCAATTAACTATATTTCCTTTAGAATCTTTCCATACCTCAAGTTCTTTTCTTTAAATGAGGACAATGAAATCTGCTACTTATGTCACAGATGACATGTCAATTCAAATCAATAAGAAAACTAGACTCTTGACAGATCCCCATACTTTAAAAAATAGATAACTTGGTCTTTTATCAAAACAACTGTCTCACATCTAAGTTGACTTTGGCCAACTCGAGTATTTCATAGGCTGTAAAAAGTGGCATAGTGAACACCACATTACACTGTTTGACCATTATTGATTTACTCAGTCCTTCATTCAAACAGTGATTTATTGAATGCTCATTGTGTGCCACACTCTGCTAGAAGTAAGGATACCCAAAATAAAATACCATAAATAAAATGATTTGGATACTCCAGGAGTTTATACTCAACGGAAAGATAGTCAGAAAAACAGATGTTTTAAGAGCTTCAAAAGAACTAGGCTCTAACTGGGTGCTACCTCTGAGGCAGGAAGATCACAAGTTCAAGTTTGAGATCAGCCTGAGCAGCTTAGTGGAGACCCTGTGTATTATGGCTCATATCCAGATGGCCCCTGAAAGTCTCATGACCTCATAGGTAGGGCTTTGGGGAGGTGATTGGACCATGGGGGCAAGATATTCATCAGTGGATTGGTACACTGATGAATTTATAGCTAAATATGATTTGGGAGGTGAAGCCTAGTTGGATGAGGTGGGTCAGTGAGGGTATGACCTGAAAGGGTCTATCTCCCTCCCTTTCCCTTGATCTGTCTCTCTGCTTCCTGCTGCTCTGCCATGAGCAATTCTCCTTTGCCATCCCCCTCTGTCTTGGAGCCAGCCAAGTACAAATTGGAACCTCTACGGACTGTGAGCCAAAATAAATCTTTCTGAAATTGTAGATGTCTGGTATTGTGTCTCAGTGAGACCCAAGCAACTAAGACACTGTCTCAAAAGTTAAAAAATAAAATAAAATAAAAATGGGTCTTGGGATGTAGCTCAGTGTGATGCCTTGGGATCAATCCCCAGTACTACCAAATGGAAAAACAAAAATCCATAGGATCTCTTATCTCACTCTTCATCATATCAAACTGTTTTAGATATACTCATATAATATTGTATAACCAAATAAATAGAATTGTATTTGCCCAGCTGACAATTGGACCTTTGGACATTTAAACAAAATATTTATTAACTTTAATTTTATATTTTTTGTGCAGTCTCCCCCCTGCCCACTTGTAGGACAGTTGTGGTGAACCTAAGGCAAGTGTACCACAGTGGACATGCAGAGCCCTCTCTGTCTGCATGTGATCCCAAGTCATCCCAGCATCACCCCAGCAGCTGAGCATGGGATAACAGTGCACATAGAGGTCACGAGTAGCAGCACCAGGCAGTGATGCCATGGGTCATAACTCATTAGGTGCAACTCTTCTGAGCTTTTGCATGGTCATGGCTGGTTGTGTGTGTGTGTGTGTGTGCGCGCATTTCTTGGACTGGCTATATTTTAATATATTTGTTTTTATTAACAGAAGATTTTAGCTTTGAGTTTTCTTATGAAAAACAAATTTAATATCTAAGATTTAGCAAAGAGAGCCTCTAATTAAGAGAATGAGATTCTTTAAATGTTGTGCTGTCCTCCTGGAATATTTGAATCTGCAGCATCATATTTAGTTGTTTATGAAGAATATATGAAAACAAAAGCAAGGATATATTTGTTAAGACTGATTGTGATTTTAGCAGAAGACCCCACAAGGTAGAAAATGTACTCAGATGCCTTTTTCAGAGCAGGTCAAAAGCTGGTGATCAGTGGAACATTGCCCCCTGGAGCTGGTGGTCAGCAAGTTCAAGAGGAACCCCAGCCGGGAATGACTGCCATAGATTGTTGATTCAGGGAATATCTAATTATTCAATGCTAACTAATAGTGTTAGCTATTTTTGGTATTTTCATTTTTTTAAAAAATTGTGTTTTAGTAGACTCCAAGTGTTGAACACCAAACAATGACTACAGCAAAAAAAGCAAAACTGAAAACAGTGGAAGATCATTCCAAGAGGCCTAGACAGTCATTTGGAAAGCTGTTATGTTTTCTGTGTAGTGAAAATATTGTGTGTGCATACATCAAGTGTCAGACAGCACTTTGACACCAACCACAAAAGTGTTGCTGAACTTGGTGAAACTTAAAGGAAAGAGTTTCTTGACCGGAAATAGAGGAAATATCATTCCCAGTACCTTAGCTGTTGCAACCATCTTTCTAAAACAAATCATTTGACATCTTCCAGCTTTCAAATTTCACTGTGCATAGTAAAACATAGCAAGTTCCCTCTATGATGGAGATTTTGTCAAAATGGTCATGTTGTCTTTGAGTAATTCCCTTTTTCATGATTTCCCAAATGAGGACAAAAGTATGTAAC